AACCAAAACTTTATTGGTTAAAATTTAGTTTGTACTCCTAATATGTATAAGTCTATAAAGTATATATGTGCTACTACAGAATTTTGTTCTCTGCATTATAAAATATTCAAAAATAGAAGTTCTAACATCTGATGGAATATTTAAAAAATATTAATTTGTTTCACTAAATCAGTAATATTTGGGGAGACAATGTGTCTCCCCAAGCATTTTACCTATGGCCTGACACATGTTAGGTCATTGCTATAGGTAATTAGTTGGGTGTGTGGCTAAGGAGACTGACCTGACCCAAATAGAGAGCTTTTATTAAAAAGTAGTGAGATAAATGTTAGAATGGATGTAAATACTTAGATGAATAGATAAGTATTTTCAAAGGCTATTGAAAATAAAAGGATGAGGTCAGTTATGCAAAAAAATTGGCAATAGAGTCATCTGCGTTATGGGAACAAATAAAAGGTGGGAAGATAAGTTTGTGGGGGTATCACATTAACCTGTGAATCATGATGGTATCACCGAAGTTTTGGTGAAAGAAATCAAGGGGAAAAGGGACAAAACTTTCCCAAAGAGACAAAACTCATTGTTAGAAAGTGTGAAGAGAGACTATAGATTTCTGTACTCACCCATTTTAAATGATTTTAGCAAATTGCTGCAAGCATTTTAGTGCATATGCCTTAGTTTCAGGTGTGAATTAGGTGAGCATGTGTTTGAACAGCTTTCACATATTTTTTGTTTGTAATAAAGACCAGCTTAAGTTTATTATCTGTAAGGTATTTAATGTTTCAAAAATTAATGCAAGTTATTTCTTACACCTGTTAATTTTTTCAGTATGATTTGTAACTAAGTTTTGAACATTTTTCTCATAAGATGTATGCATCATATCTTTAATTATGAGTGGTATACTTTTGTTGTATTAGGGATGCCATTTTTTTCTGGTTTTGGAAGTGGGTTTTCAGTGTACGTGGGTTAATACGAATGCTGTGACGACAAAAAGCTCTTCTGAGAGATTAATGCACCAGTCTTTCAGTGTTTAATATTTCAGAACTACGTTTTTAAATTTTCATAAAATATACAAAATATGTTTAAAGTCATCGGCACTTTATAACTTACTTTTGGGTGCCTGAGCAGGTGTAGTAGGCAGTGCTCTCAGTCTTCTCACCTGTGCTGAATTAGGTCAGCTGCTTGTAAACATGGGTTTAATAGATTATCTCCTTGGGTGATGATGGTAATGTTACTTCATGTCATTCACTCAGTAAACTAGCTTTATCTTTTAAAAGGTCACATTTTTATACATTTGCTTAGTTTTTTTCTCAATGTAGTTATTTTTATTGGAAGGTAGAATCTATATAGATTTTTACGTGTGGGCAGGGATGTGGGGAGCCAGTGCTGGGGTTAAATTCTAAATTTTCACTGAAATTCTTCCATTTGAATGCAAGAAATTTTATCTCTTCCTTTGCATTTCATAAAAGTGTTGATCATCTGCTAACACCGTTTAATACAGTCTCTTTTCCTCAATTAGAAGAATCAAAAGTAGAAGTATGAAGTATACACTATATACTGTATTTTGCCATGTTTAATGTGCACCTTTTTGCACCAGTTTTTGAGGGGAAAAAAGGGTGCACATTATACATGCAGTGTTAATTCCATATTTGTGTAAAAGTTTTTAATTCTTTTAGTTATGCTTGTGTGTTAAAAGTGTAACTCTAGAAACCAGTAACAGTATGTATGTGTTCAAAAGTAAATGCTAAAATTCCTTTATAATATAAAAAGAAGTACCTAAATATAAAGTATAAAAAATGAATTTAAAAAATTTAAAAGTAAGATTTTTTTCTGAAAGTTTGGGACAAAAACACGGGTGCACATTGTACGTGGGAGTGCATTATATACTGCAAAATACATTTACATATTTAACATAATCTACCTATATGTAATAGCTTTTCCAATTGGTAAACAGATAGCTTTTCATCCAGTTGTACAGGTTCATACTTTCTAGCCTGTTCTGGTACTCAGAAGAGAATGGAAGCAGATGAAGTAAATATGCCCAAGTTATGATAAAAGAAAGTGTCATGGTTCAGGGGTGTCCAGCCTTTTAACAACTCTGCGCCACACTGGAAGAAGAGTTGTCTTGGGCCACACACTAAATGCATTGTGATCGATAATCAAAAAATCTCATAATGTTTTAAGTAAATTTAAGATTTTGTGTTGGACTGCATTCACAGCCATGCTGGGCTGCTTGCAGTCCTTGAGCTGCAGGTGGATGCCCCTGGCAGTCAACTGTCAGTTGAATCTAAGAGCTAGAAATTGTAAGACTAATGGGACAGCATTAATGGGGTAAGTAAACCATAATTTAAATATTTAGAAAATTGTATCTGTTTAGACTTGAGAATTACTTCAGAATATTAAAAATAGTATAGATTCAGAGTCAGGAATAACTTCAGGATATTAAAAGTCTGATTATGTTTTAGTACTTACAAAGAACTAAAAGTTTAATGTCATTGCTAAGATTAAATGAAAGGCTTTCTTGGAGGAGGAGTGAAGTTTGATGAATTTGTAGTGTGTACATTGAGAATCTTAACTTAGACTAATATTCAAAGAATACCCTGAGGTTTTCAAAACATTTTTCTTTGTACTGATTATAGAGAGAGGAGAAAGAGGGAGAGAAACATACATATGAGAGAGAAACATCAATTGGTGGCCCCTTGCATGTGCCCCAACTGGGGAGTGGACCCACAACTCAGGCATGTTCTCTGACTAGGAATCAAAGCCTCAATCTTTCTGTTCGCAGGTCAGCACCCAACCAACTGAGCCACACTGGCTAGGCCTAACCTGAGTTTTTGAAAAAATAATTTCAGAAGTATTGCTATAAATACTGTATGAGCTTCATTATCATCAAAACAATACTTAGTTAAATTCAGTATATTTGGACAAAAAAAGTAGGAAGCATACTGGGGGGGGGAGTTGTGCCAATGTCAAGATTTATGATGTTTGTCAAATAAGCTTGATATTGTAACCTTAATTAGTTTCAGTTTGCTTTTTAAAGACTGAATACAAAGCTATAATTTCGTGCTGGGGAAAGTGATAGTGTAGAATAGAAGATTATGTTTATGTCATTCCAAATTACTCTTACATTTGCAGGGGCAGAGTAATACTTGACTGGCATAGGTTTCAAATCTTTTTCTCATCTAGCACATATTCAGATGGTGGTAGTAGGGAGTAGAGAAATGAGCAACAATAGGAAGATAAACCAGGCATGTATCAGCAAGTGAGGGTAACATCCTGAATGATCGAGATGGTTGTAATGTTTAAAAATTGTATATTTTCCTGTTTTCAGATTCTGTTCAGTGTTTGAAAGGTGATTGAAATTGGTTGTTGGACACTCACTAGTGTGAGATTATTCTTAGTGTAGAATGAAGCTAATAATAAAATGACCTGTTAATAAACCCATGAATTTTTTTTAGTTTGCTAAAGAAATATTAACAATTGAAAAGAAGGCATTCTTTTTAGTAATCTAAAGTACCTACCACATGACTCACATTTTAATAAAAACCGTTCAAAAATATTTCTAAATATGTATTTGTATGAATTACTATGATGGTAAGTAGATAAAATATTTTGATACAAATAGTGTTTTAATTCCATTTAAATTTGTCACATTTGGATCCCAACAGTAATTGCAGTAATTTAAGAGTGTATATGAATGTCAGTTTAACTGAAAACTGAGAGCTCTTCATTACCAAATAGGTGGCCCCAAAAGAGTGCATATCTCAGGGGTGTCCAACCCATGGGTGAGCTATGAATGCAGCCCAACACAAAATCGTAAATTTACTTTAAACATGAGATTTTTTTGTGTGATTACCTGTCACAATGTGTTTAATGTGTGGCCCAAGACAACTCTTCCACTGTAGCCTAGAGTCATGAAAAGATTGGAACTCCTGCTGGATGTTGCAGAAAAACATTCTCTTCCCAGAAAGGACATAAGGATGGAGGCTTCTATCCTACCCCAACCCAGCTTTGTTATACTGTGCGTTCGTTACTACTCATTGATTGAATGGTCTTGAGCAGAATATTTAACTTTAGAACTGCAGTATCTTCATTGATAGAATGTTATCTTAAATATGTTTCTTATTGGTTAGAAAGATAAAATATATGTATTGAAAGTACTGTGTAACAATATGGTTATTGGAATTAATGTGCCTAAAATTATGCACATAAAATATATAGTTACAGTAATATTAGTAAATTTACTTATTTGGGAGTTAATAGGATGACTTAATTTTTAAGAATTATGTGAAATGCTACCTGCTAAATATGTTTTTAAAATCTTACAAAGTTTGTGGTGGAGGCTGGGAAAAATTGGTATTGAGAAATGATACAGTGTGTCAGTAGCCAGGAGATAAGGAAGAATTTTCATTTCATTTTTGCCACAGAAACACTAACTTAAGTGTGCTTTTTATTAAATTTGCATGAACCAACGGAAATTATTACTACTATTTTAAACTATTTTTAAAATTTTTTTAACAATGTGACTTTTTGACTATATCAAATCTGGGTTTTGTTGTTGATGTCCCCCTTCTTGAAGGTTTTTGGTTAATAGAATGTCTTTTATTTTTAAATGGAATAAAAATGGCAAATTGTCTATATTGTTGGCTAACTATTAAAGAATAGTGATTTTTTTAGTCAACTTTTAGAGTAAAAACTTAGCAATTTTCACTCTTTATTTTTCTCCAGATATTCTTTGCCCATAAAGAATAGATTCATTTGTTGATATTTAACCGGAGATATTCTTTTTATAACTTGAGAATAAAGCTGGAGTGCTAAGGTGACATCTGAAAAGCAATGAGGTTGTTAGCATAATGTTACAATAGTGAATCAAGTTTAGGGTCCCCTAAGGTTGCTATTGGATGTCATACTTCAATTAAATTTTCTTTGCACATGTAGAAATTAGGATATGCAAATTCAAGAACTCTTTAAAATTGTTTGAAAGCCTAATTTTTGTTACTTTACAGATGTTCCATTTAAGCAGACCTCTTCCATAGCCATAGCTGGAGCTGTAATTGGAGCTGTCCTCGCCCTCCTCATCATTGCTGTTTTTGTGACTGTGCTGCTGACTTCTCAAAAAAAGAGACCATCCTATATGGACAAAGTGTAGGTAACTTTTTTTTTGCCTATGTTCAACTGTGTATATTCGGTATGTGTCAGTCTTTATGTCTGTCTTTATAGCTACTAATAGGAAAAGTGACAGGGATGACAGTAAAGGCACTGTTAGATCTTTGTGCAATGACCACGGTCTCATCAGAATGTCTCAAATCATGTGTTGGTAAATACACTGTCAAGGGCTGCTGGAGACAAATGTATTAGACATCCTCTTCACCTACAGCACATTAGACACCTTTCCAATGGCAACATGACACTCAGTATTGTCCTGCCTTCTGAAAAAAAATGTAGGTTCGATGAAGTGGATAAAACATGTTTAAAAAAGGCCTTAGAGGTTTAGTGGCTTCTTCAGATTGTATATGTCTGTTTTATGTATAGCTGTAACTTAACTTTCAACAGATGAGTTATCAAAAACAGAGTTTTAAAGCTTTTTTCCTTAAAGAATTTTGGTTTTGGTTAATTGTAAAACTGGGCATCATTTTTAGTTAAGGAGAAAGCAGTGTGTTTGGTCTAATCATTGAGATAGAATTATAAGCAGAAATTGCACCTTGCTGTAGAATGTCCCAATTCATTTGATTCCATCGACAGCCGTGTGGCTTCATTTGTGAAATAAGAAGAATTTTGTCCAACACATGTCACATCGTTGTGTTAAGATAATGTTTATGGACTCTGAAGTTCTATATAAATTGCATTATTTTTTGTTTAGGTATTACAGTTTTTCTATTAGGACATAAGGCTGGCTCTCAAAATTGTGTGTCTTCTGCGTTTATAAATACTTTGTATATACCTATAATCTGTCACAGTTATAGCACTCATCATTTTGCATTGAAGATGCCTGGAAGTTATTCTGAGCTTACCACAATCAAATTAGTGCTATGACCATGAACCAGTCACATGACTTTTATGAGCTTCAGTTTTCTCACCTAAATGAACTGTGGCCCTGTGGACCCATAAAGTTGCTAAGATTTTCCTTAGATGAAAGGAAGTAATTAACTTAAATTAAAAAACTGTACTCTTTCAGTGCAATTTCTGTAAGACAATGTCATTCGTTAGTATTTCAAGAGTGACCAGTATGTGATTCACTTCATCTTAATTCCCAGATTATCTCAAGATTTTCTATAATTTCAAAAACATAATTTACTAATAGACTAGTAAATCCACATAACCATTACATTTATTGTTTGAATTCTGTTTATTTAAAATATTATTTATTGCCCAAATTGAGAAGTTTATTAGACCATGGAGAATTTGTAATTACTTTGTCCTCTCTGATATGCATTCTTTATCCTTTAATATAAGTAACATTTTTGTTTGATTTACTAATCATAAGTACTGAAAATTACTTACCTTTGATCTTCAAAAGTTAGAATATATAAAATTTCTTAACATGCAGAAACCTGCAAGATATATTTAACTCTGTTTTTATTATAATTTAACCATGTTTAACATGCATGAAAATACTAGTTTTTTTAAAACAGATTAAGTCATTTTTGGCAAAAAATGCATCTCTTAAAGTTGTAATGGTCTCTATATATTTCCAGTTGCAAGATGTATAATGAATGATCTGTAGATTGAAAATACTGATTTGCATGATAAATATTCTAAGAGTGGCCATGCTTTTGAAAATCAGTTTTGGAAGTATTTCCAAATACAATCTTAAACCTTTCTTAATTTCGTTTTTAGGTGTAGTCTTTTAAGTTATTTTTATGACTCTTTAGAATTAACTGCCTTCCATTATACATGTTTACTGCCCCTTTTTAATTATTTATTTATTTTTCAAAGAGAGGGGAAGGGAAAAAGAAAGAGAGGGAGAAAAACATCAATGTGTGGTTGCCTCTCACAAGTCCCCTACTAGGGACCTGGCCCACAACCCAGGCATGTGCCTTGACTGGGAATCTAACTGGCAAGCCTTTGGTTCGTAACCTGTGCTCAATCTACTGAGCTACACCAGCCAAGGCCACATGTTTACTGTCTTTAAAATGTTAGTAAGCACAGTTAGATTTAAAAATGTGCAATACATAAATAAATTGGTCATGTACTATATCACTGGTTTAGTAAGATTTTGCAAAAAAAATGCTTCTACTGGAATTGCTTCTTTAAATATGCATCTATTAGATTGTCTTAAACATTGGAACCTTTAAAACCAGTTTATTTTCCATATGTGATAGGTTAGTACAAATGTAAAACCTAAATTAAATATGTAGTGTACACTAGTATATAAATGTTAGTAAGAGGAAAATATCCTCAAAAATTGAGATATCTCTGTTTTTCTCTTCTCTTTTTTATTTTTGCTTAATATTGCAGTCACATTTTTTTAACCTTTTTAATGCAGGATTGACCTTCCACCCACACATAAACCACCTCCTGTGTATGAAGAACGGTACCCCTCTTTGCCTCAAAAAGAGCTGTATCAGGTAAGCGTTCATGAGTACACTTGAAATAAAATACATGCTAAGCAATGTATATTATTTGTTTCAAAATATTATCTTGTCACGATAAATTAAATATTGCATAGTAATATATAATCATTTCTCTGAAAAATTTAGGTGATCAAATGTCGTCCACATATTGGTAAGAAAAAAAAAGTAATGGCCACTGTAGCTAAGACAAACTAACGCCATATTAGGAGTACCAATTTTACTAAAGCCATGGCTGAAGACATTGTTAATACAGTTTTATTGACATAGAGATTCATTATAAAATACTCATTTTTATATAAAATAAAAAGTAAAAATATTGAATGTCTTTGGGTAGGGTGTCATGAACAACTTTTTCTCCTTGGAGTAATTTTTTCAGTGTATTCAAGGTCTAAATTTCAGTTTTTCTTTATTTAGCAACAAAAGGTTTAGATTCCAATTTAAAAGTTTGGATAGAAATATTGGGCTGCCAACTACACTTACAATAACTTTTAACAATTTCTTTTACAATCAGTTGACAGTAATTCATGTGAAAGTATTGACTCAGTGCTTCTGTCTCATGTTCTATCCTTAGATTAACATGCTCTACCTCAGGAGCGTATTCAGAACACCGTCAGAATGTTTGAATACTTTTATTTTTAGCTTTAAGTTTTTCTGTTTTGTTTTTTCTCTATCACCCATGCAACCTGTTGGGGCTCTAACCATATATTGGAGTTTTATTACCTGTGGGAATGTTCTATAATAGTTGATTCTTAAATATGTCCTGTATCTTCAACTTCAATAAGGCAAATCATTTGCTCCCCAATTAATTTATTTAATTTGTTGGAAAACTTCACGGGAATATATCTTTTGATGTATTTTCAGTTTTTCTTTCTTCCTTGATCATATAGTTAGTCCATTGCCCCACCAGGGGGCCAGGGGAACATTCTTGGCAGGTGAACCCACTGACAATGGGTACCAGCTTTGTCATTTTACACAAGTTGAATGTCTTAGAGGTGAAGACATGCCATCTTTTGTCACCTCTTGTTTCACATAAATAGTGTAACCTCACATTTCTTTTGGCAAATAAATGATGTTAACAAGTAGTGTGAAATGCCAACAGAATTTTTAACTAGAGCTGGTAACTGCTGCAGAAGGGTAGCTGTCTTCCTCTTTCCGCAAAGGGAGCGGTTAATCAGAGGATTTCTAGATTCAGTTGGGGCACGTGTATAAGAACATTGTTAGTCATTTTCTAGGATAGTTCTAATTATTTTATTGTTTGTATAATTAGTTGATTATATAGCTTATTATTATTCAATATTTCAAGTTAAATATTTATAAGAGCTTCTGAGTTGGAAAAAATCATTTGGCTCAGATCATTTATCCTGAGTTTTAGTTAAGAAAATATGATTGCTATGTATGTAGGTGCTGCTAAATAAAGACAAAAGGAAGGTTTTTTTCTTGAAATATTTAAGTTGGCTGTGGTACAAACTGCAATTTCTAATATTCCTGAAGTCAGGGAAGGCTTCCTGGGTGGATTTATTTTGAAGGTAGAAGTTTTTGAAGCATGTGATAAAATTAGTTGTTGATTAGAGTAATTTTACTTGTAGTAATTTGGATAATCAAAAGCATAAATCTGGTGAAAACTAAGAGTTCTGTGGAAAAGTGATGGAAATTTCAGAAAGAAAATTGATAGGAGAGCACCTGTATATATAAAATCAAGCAGGTGAAAAATATAATTGTTTTCCTCTTCTAGCCGTAAAACCGATTCCATAAAATATTGCGAAGGGTAGGCTAGTTGCCCTCATTTCCCTTAGGAGAGGCAGAACTTGATTTTGAGATGAAATAACTCTTAATTCTATAAAGCTTTCAAGAATAATATAGGCTAAACTCATTATCCATCAGTAAGACAGTTTATGACTCATGCATTATAATATCATATGTTACCATAATTATGTGGCTGTTTGTGTTTTCGTTAGTGTTGTGATATTAAAATGTAAATTTTATAGAACTATTCCCTGGTTAGTGAGAAATCTATGTATAAGTGCATAGCTACTGTCTAATTAGTTTCATGCCGTGATAGCATGTGGTAATACTCTTATGTCTTCTGATGTTCTAGTTCACGAGATAACATGTCAATTTTAAACTAATCTCTACTTAAGTCTTTAGCCCTCACCCCACACAGCCAGGCCTAGTGACCTAGTGAGCCAGGCCATGCTCCCAGATGTCACCATGACTCTCTTGTTCTACCCATCAGTGTTCTACCACTGAGAGCCCACAGCAGGAAGCAGTTTCTCATACCCACATTTTTCTGCCCTGCTTAACCATTAATGGCTCTTGCAATAGTAGAGCCAAACCTCATCCCGGAGAACTTTCCCTTAAATATAAGTTAGTCAGAAGAATGAGGCCTGATAAGGTGAAGAAGCAATATTCTGATTATGAACTATTACTGTACTGCCGAGAGAACGAATGCACGGAGGCGTGCATAAGCACGAGGGCAGTGAAAAGGAATGTCTCTCATGGAGTCAAAATGTAATTAAGAAATGCCATCAGCTTGTCAGAGTTTTAGATAATCCTACATTTTTTATGTTTTATTTTCACAACATCATATTTAATACATAAATATATTCTTTTTTAAGATTTTATTCATTTATCTTTAGAGAAGCAGAGAGGGAGAGCAATATCAGTGTATGGTTGCCTCTCGTGTTTCCCCCATTGGGATTTGGCCTGCAACCAGGCATGTGCCCTGACTGGGAATCGAACACGATCCCTTATTTCATAAATATATTCTTGATTCAAAAATACTATGTAAATTTATAGAGTAAACTGCAACAGTCCTCTTATTTACCCATCCCCAAATAGATAATTTCCTTCCTCAGAAATCATCATTGTGATCTCAGACTTTTTCCACACATTTACTTTCATGCTTATATCATCCATATTTAAATCTACAAATATTAAAAAAAATACCAACATGACCTTTGCCAGGTAACTTAGTTGGTTACAGTGTTGTCTGATTTGCTACAGTTGTGGATTTCATCCTCAGTCAGGGCACATACCTAGGTTATTGGCCTTATACCCAGTTGGGACACATATAAGAATCAACCAATGAATGAATAAATAAATGGGTATAAACAAATGAACATTGTTCTCTCTCTCTCTCTGTCCATCCTTTCCTCCCCCTCTTCCTCTTTTTCTCTTTCAAATCAATAAATAAATTTATAAAAAAACATAAATGTAGTCATAGAATACATATTCTAGAAATTAGTTTTCCCCTTTTTTATAGACCATTGTTTTTCAGAGTGGCCCATGTTACTACCTTTACCAAATCCTTTGAGTTATTAAAAATGAAGACTCTTGAGCATAACTTCAGAATCTCTGTGTTAGAGGCAGTGGGTATTTTACATAGCTCGCCAGGTGAATTTTAATGCACATTCATGCCTGAGAAATATTTCTTTCTCTGTATCCATTTTAATGGCTGAAATAGTATTCCATCATGTTGACATACCACAAATAACCTATTTTCCTAGCTTGTTTCCTATTTTTTCCATAACATAATTATTGAAGTAAAGGGTACTCTTATGTGCTTTGTAGTACACATATGCCCATAAAATACATGCAAAGAAATATATGCAAAAGAAATGTGAAAATTTTTACATTTAAATAGGTACCATATTGCTGGCCAGACTAGCTTTATCAGTTTATATTCCCATAAATAGTACAGTAGTCCCTCCTTATCTGTGATTTCACTTTCCACAGTTTCTGTTACCCTTGATACACATACTCAAAAAAATGTTTAATGAAAAATTCCAGATATAAACAATTCATAAGTTTTAGGTTGTGTTGTTCTGAGTAGTGTGATGAAATCTCAAACCACCCCACTTCATGAATTATTCCTTTGCCTAGTGTATCGTTGTTGTATAAGCTACTCACCCACTAGTCACTTTTCTCAGTTAATCAGATCAACTGTTGTGGTATCACAGTGCTTGTGTTCATATAACCTTTATTTTACTTAATATTGGCCCCAAAGCTATCTGTATAACCTTTACTATAATATATTATAATCTGTTATCAGTTATTGTTGTTAATCTCTTACTGTGCCTGATTTATAAAGGAAACTTTATCATAGGTAGGCACATATAGGAAAAAACATAGCATATGAGGCCTGTTTGGAAAAAGTCCAGCCATTGTTTCTATAACAAGAACAGTTTGCACAACATCAATGTAACGTTGCAGCCAAGGAGAGCGGACTGGAATGCACATGAGTGAACAATGACAACTTCACTGTACTAGTCAGTGGGGATGGTACATGCTGTTGAGTGAGCATGTGTACTGTGTGGCCATCACATTCAAAATGACTGAGCAAGTAGAGCAGCGAATCTACATCAAATGTTGTGTTAAGGTTGAACATACCTCCACAGAAACTATTTGAAGGATTCAGAAAGCTTTCCAGAAAGATACAACAAATGCAGGGCAATCAAAAATGTGGCACAAACACTTCAAAGAGGGTTGAGAATCTGTTGAAAGTGATCCACATTCTGGAAGGCCTGCAACAAGCAGAACACCTGAGAATGTTAAACATGTACGGGCTGCAATCAACAAAGATCAGCAACCAACAGTACAAGAACTAGCAGCTGATCCTGGAGACTTCAAAAACTACTGTGTCTGAGAATTTAACACAGGATCTCGGCATGAAATGTGTTGTGGCGAAATTTGTTCTATAGCTTCTGCTGCCAGAGCAGAAGGAATATCATGTTGCAGTCGCTAATGACTTGATTCAAACCTCTATCAGTGAACCAGATTTCCTCAAGAAGGTTATAAACAGAGATGAATTGGGTCTATGGCTGTAATCTGGAAGTGAAAGCTCAGTCATCACGATGAGCCCAGTCATTCCAACGGCAGTGATCTGGTTCTCATGTCCGAAGAAGGCATGGCAAAGTCTCAGCAAGAGCATGACTGTGTAACTGTGTTTTTTGATTGGGAATGCGTTGTCCATCACAAGTGTGCCCCTCTAAGCC